AAAAAGTGATGCCTACATAATCCTTTGATTTTAAGTCTTCTGTAACAGACTACCATTATTAAAGTTATTTAACTATTCTAGTAACAAAATATCCAGTAACTTTTAAACTGACATTATACCCAATTGCTCACTAAATTATAAAGACAATTATTTACCTTAAGAAAAGGAATAAGGTGGTGATCATTTCACAATATATGTAAGTCAAATCATTATGCCATACACCTTAAATTTAATTACTACTGCATGTCATTTATAGCTCAATAAAATGAAAAAATAAGAAATAAAGATAAGTTCATCCGTAGTATTCTGATTAATTATGCTCTAACTCTGTAAATTTATTATCTACATCACTGGTGTAGGGGAAGTTGGAGTGGGAGTAGGGGTGTAAACAGGGACGCTGCTAACCATCACATAAGACACAGGACAGCCCCGCACAACAAAGACTTATCTTACCCAAAATGTCAGTCGTGCTAAGCTTAAGAAATCCTGTGCCACAACAATATTCAAATACAGAAAGAAACAAGATTTGGAACCTTATCTCACAGGCAAAAATCTCTGTTGCTTTAAATATTGGAAAAAAACAACCCATACAAGAGATTACTGTAGTGGACCTTATGTTTAATGAGATATGCAGTAAGATGTACCATGAATCAGGGCTCAAAAGGTCTCAGACAATTAGAACTTTTAGATAAATACAATTTTCATGGGTACGTCTGTAGGTGGCAACAAAGTTAGTGTCTAAACTGTAATCTCACCTTGCGGCTCACACACTATCCATTCAGTCAGATCCAGTCAGTCTGGTTCCCTGAACATTTTTAACCACCTGCACTTTTCTCTCCATCTTGATTGACTTAGATCGGCCATCATCACTCAGCTGGATCATTACTGTGATTCCTGAACTAATTTAATTTCCCTAAAACTCTTCCTGTGCTCCATCTACCAAACCAGGGAGACACTCATCTTTCGAAAATTCAAATCTGATCATATTATTCCCTGCTGAAAATCAGTATCTCCCTCTTATCTATAGGATAAAAGTCAAGGAAAGAGATCATGGAAGATTAATGAATTCCAACCTACACATGATTCCACACTGAAAACAGCAAATTTAAGTGATTCTGTTCATGGGAATATAAAAGGTCTGAAATTGAGGCATGAGACAGAGATTTGGGAAATAATAGTGTATCTGTAAGAGTTAAAATGGGTGCATACAAATGCATTGTACCAAGTAATGTTTAAATATTGAAAGATATAAAACCAAAAACATAAGAAAAAGGAGACCAACCATATTTTAAAAAAAGACCAAATGGAACTCCTAGAAATTAAAAAATTATTAAAATTTTTAAAATCCTTAAACATAAGATTTGGTAGAGCTAAAGAATTAATGAAATAGAACACTTAAATTACCTAAGAAGCAGGCAACAAAAAGAGATGGAAAATAAAAAAAAAGTTAGGAGACATGAAGACAGGATCAGAAAGTCAATCATACATAGAGTGATCCATAAGAAGAGAGAAAAGCTGTGCGGTAGGAAATAAAGCAGAGTTAATATTCAATAAGATAATGGTTGATAATTTTTCAGAATTTATAAAAATACATGAATCATAAAATTCATACAGGACAATCAATCCAAAGCAAGCGGGGAAAATCTATATCTAGATGCATCATAGAGATACTGTATAATATCTATGAAAAATAAATTATAAGATACCTTATATTAACCAGAGAGAAAAGGCAGATTCCTTTCAAAAGATACAATTAGACTGTTTAGCAGACCTTGAAAGTTGAATAAAAGCCAGGAGATAATGACAGTATATTTTCAAAGTACTTGAGGGAAAAAAATAGCTGTAGTCTTAGAATTTTATACCCAGACAAACTATTACCAAGAGTAAAGATGAATAACACTAAAAGGATTTCACTACTGATCCTACTGAGGTAACCTGACCTCTGTGGAACCCAAAAATGGTGTATACACAGAGAGAGAGAAACTGGGTTCTGGCGATACATTCAAGTTCTTATATGCAGACACCTCTAATGCCAGTATTAATTTCAGACATCTTTTCTCATAGGGTAACACATCTTCATCAATTTGGTTTTACTTTTAACCAATGTGAAAGTTAAACTATCAAAGTTATCTTTAACATGTATACCCCCCTAATGGGCTGTCACACTGTCTAACTTACTTAGAAAATGATTTATCTAAAAGGGCCTTTTAGTAGAGCTTGAAAATTAAAGACTAAGAAAACAAGAAAATAAGTCAGAGTCTATGGGGCACAATTTTAGAGAACAAAGGAGAATGGGTTCAAAAGAATACATGGAAAACAAATCGTAAAGTAGCTCTGACTAAGCAAAGGCATCACTCTTTTCTTGTCTTGGGATAGCATTTGATTCAGGCCAATCTTATGCAATTTACTGCCCAGAGGTTATAAAAGATGCCAATACTTCCTACTAATATAAGAACTTCAACTACTAGTGCAAGTCTCAATTAACTGCATTTATGCTTTTATGATTAGAACAGTATGAGAGTTGCCAGGAAGTGTTGCCTAACACTTGTAGGGCCCTTTTGACTAAGCAAAAAATATTACTGAGTGTTTGCAATGGAAAACTATGTATTATTTAGAGCAGACTCTTCCAGATTAGCTCAGTCTCACCTCTCATTGCCTTTGAGCTCTTTTACAACTTTTCAGAAGTTATAGTAACTGATAACAGTACAAAAGTATTCTTGACTATAAACATGCAACTATTTTCTACCTAATGGAGGTCCAGTTGACATCTTCCTCCCTTGGAAAAGCAGTTTTGTCTATTTGCGAATTCATCTCAACATTCCTTTATGCCATACAAATTTGTGCTTTCTGGATTATAATATCTGTCTTGTTCTCTCATTAATGAGTTCAGTAAAATTCCTAATACATGCTCATCTTGTACCTGTAGAAAACTTGTGATTTTATACCTTTTTGAAAATTATACTTTAACATCATCAAAAATAATGCAATATTTTTAGAAGAGACCAGATTTCTGAAGCTGAATTCAAAACAAATTAGTTGTAAAGTTTTTGCTTGAAACCAGCTTCTTAATGTAATCAAAAAGCTTCATGGCTTGCATTTATATTTGTTAGTTTTATTTAAGATGTATAATGTGATTAAATATTATAAACTACATTCTGATTAACAATGTTAAAATCAGAAAGAATTCAAAAGGAATCCCAACAAATCTACAAACCTAAAACACTAATTGCTATACATTTTAATGTTTTTTAAGCCGTCTGTTAAACAATTATCTTTAGCATATTAAGTAGAGCAAGATAAAAGGCCTTTTTTGTTTTTTTTAGATACATTACCAAAAGAATCACTTTATAGACCATCTCTTAGGAATAATCTCTCTCAAATATAATACTCAACAATAAAAAAATCCCAAATGTATATAAATTTTATACTGAGTTTGAGTGATATTTTCCAAAGGTAACATAGGCAAAGAGCTATATTTTTCTGTGTATTTAACATGCATTGAATTTCTAACCATCTGTCCAAATTATGTAGTCTCTCCTAGAAACTCTCAAATTTGTAAAATTTTACTCATATTCCTAAAAGTTATAAATCCTTTATTCCTTCATTCCTCCTCACCACCCTTATAACTGATCGTATTCCTTCTACCACAATGGAGGAGCCTGGAGAAGAGGAAGGGAGTCAGGAAAAACACAAGAACCACAAGAAAGTTTTTTGGTCACTTATGTTCCTGGACCACAGCTTTCACCACATCAAAGTACCATTTAGAAGTGATGCTAACGATGAGAAATCAAATGTTTCATTTAATCTATGGAATTCTTAATCAGGTCTAAATTTAAATAAATTCATGTTGTAAAAATAAGAGATTAAATTAGGGACAATTTCCTGACCATATGACCCAAACACATATTAGTTAACTTAGGAGAAGTCATAGACTGTCTTTCCCAGATACATACTTTAAAACTTGCTGGCCTCCAGATGGCTAGGAAGACTTAGATGATTTCTTCCATTCATCTACAACCCTTGGAGGAAACTCTAGTACTTAGATGTTATAATTCATCTTTAAATAATACCATTTTTAAGTACTTAGAACTCTATTAAAATAGTTAACATACAAATTTTCTATCCTAAAAATCTTACAAGTATTAGCATCTATATTTTTACAAGTAAGGAAGACAGGCCCAAAGAGATTAAGAAAGTTGAACACATTACACCACTAATATGATTTAAAAAACTGAAAATTGTGACTCAGTCTGTCAGACTCCACAGATTATTTCTATTCTCTTATATCAAGTCTGTGCAGCAATTTTTTTTCACTGTCTCAAATTTAGACTGCAAACTTAAGTTTAAGAACTACTACCTTATTTATAGAATTGTATCTAGTAATATAAGGGAAAAAACAGATGTTCTAGAGATTACAATAGGTCTCTTGCAATTCTGTGCTTATTTTGATGAAATAAAAGTGAAAACAGAATTCTGTCACCTTAAGATGATTTATTTTAAAGGTTGCAAAAACCTTACCTGGCTCTTTTGACAGAAAATAAACCACTTCTGAAAAACAAAACTAAACTAAACTAAAAAAAAATTTGACTGCAATGAGCCAGATTTTTGTTAATTTGTTAATACATATATACATATATATATACATATATATATATGTATGTATGTATCTTAGACTTCTAAGTGATTTCTTAGACATTTTTAAATAACTGCATATTTCATTTCATTCCTTTAAAGTCCATTCATATCTATACAATAATGACATTATTACTACATTCTCCTCAAAATAATTCATATTACGATGATAAATGCCTATAGCAAAAGATAAATTCCAGAACAGTCTCACAATCTATAAGACTATAAACTTCCTAAAACAAATTACCCTAACATCTTTAAGTCATCACGCCCATTTTAAATAACTTGACATTTAATTCCCTCAAAATTCAGCAAATGAACAACTCTGTAGTTTTGCCTATTCTATGCGTTCTCAGGAGTATACTTACCCCATGTTCCTTAGCAGCTGTGACAACTTTAAGGAGAATGTCTTCCTCAACAAAAGGCCTCACAGCATCGTGGATAATCACTACTTCCGGCTTGGAGAGCTGAGCGTCCGGCTGACCCTCCGCCAGTGCTTTCAGTCCATTGAATATTGACCTGTGGCGGGTCACTCCAGCTTCAACTAGCGAAATGCGTTTATGCTGGTACCTCTGAATAATACCCTTCATTGCGTCCATGTTCTCTCCCGTTACGGCCACAACAATGTCATTTATCCAACATAATCTAAAAGGAAAATATGTATACATTTCACATAAACTGATTCTTATACGACTAAGGTTAAGCTAATAATAGAAAATTGAATTTTTAGTTAAGTACTGGTATGTCTTCGTAAAGAGATTGAAAACTGAAAGTTAATAACTAAATCAGTCTTATTCATTTTTATCAAATCTAGTAAAGAGACTGATAAAAAAAATCAGTGAATATGTCACACTACAGATAGAAACACATAGATATATAGTATTTTGCAATATATTGTGTACAATATAGATTGTATATGATATACAGATAGATATTAGAGATTTGTAACTTAAAAATTAAATTTGAATAATTATGATATTAATCTGTAGACTGAGAAAAAAAGACTATAACAAGAATATGCTTTTAAATTGATTTTTCCAAATAATTTTTCTCATAGAATAGAAACAATTCAAAGCACGTATAAATTCCAAAAGTTTTGTCTCTTTAGTGAAGTCCATTGAATTGGCACAAACCTGGATCAATAACACGAACTGCCTACATCAAGGTGAAATACTGTATCTCAAATAGGGAAACTGTAATGATTAAATTTGTATAAATATAAAGCAGGATCTAATAAAATGAGAAGAACTCACAATTTAATGAAATATAAAATTAAATCAATCTGTTGAGTCAGATACAAAAGACGAAACTTTTTTTTTCCATTGTAAAACATTATTTTAAATAAAGACCTACTGACATACATTGAGTGGTGACCATATTAAAGAAGTCTGGTGGCCTTCTCTATAATACCAGTGCTAACTGAGAGTACTGTCACGTTCCCCAGCCGCAGCCCAGACCAAGAAAACTCCCTCTGACCCATGATATCAACTCTGAATAAAGGTCACTTTAGAAGTTAATGGCATTCTTAGCCTATGAGATCCTATATGTTCATGCTAGACAGTTAAAAGTCTTAAACACATTTTTAAAGAGATGGAAGAGGGGGTCATAAAATTACTAAATAGTGAAATTAACTCTCTGCTTTATTAAAAAATTAAAAAACACTGGGTTGCTTTGCTCGATAATTATCAATCTCCTACCTTCTGTTATTGAACAAAGCTTTCCTATAACTCAAACCCTATTCTGCCTTTGTCTATAACAATACTACACTGATGAACAAAACCAAGAGCTACTTTATAAGCACACTGTCTTTTCACTTTAAGTCCATTCCTTTAACAAATATTTATTGAACACCAAATTAATGCTCGGCATTAAGTATACAATGGAAATAGTCACTGCCTTCACAGAGCTCACAGATCAAACAAATAAGAACACCAATAAACAATTGCAAGCTGTGATCAAATGCTGTAAAGGAGATGTCCAAGCTCCGGGACTACATGCAATAGAATATTTGGACTGGCAGAGAAAAGTCTAAGATGACGCTGACTAAGGAAGCGGCGTTTGCTGCATGATCCAAGCGGTGAGTGGCAGAAAAATAGGAAAAGAGGTTTGGAGGGAGGGAGACTGGGCTGATATAAGCAAAGACCATGACAAGGTCCTGACGGGCTGGAAGGACATAGAGTTCTGTGAGCGAGGGGGAGACAAGCCCATGAGAAGGCTGGAGGCCCAGGCAAGCACCGGGCTAAGTCAGGCCATGAGAACCTCCCATACTGTGTTACGGGTTTAAGTCTTTAATTCTAAAAACAATAGGAAGCCATAGAAAAACTTTATGCAGGAGAGGTCATTTACACTAAAAACAAAATTAAGGATACTCACCTCCATCAGTGTTTTAGACACTGTTCTATGACATGATGGTAGCAGAATAAAAACCCCCCAAAGATGTCCATCTCCTAATTCTCAAAGCCTGTGAATATGTAACTTTACATGCCGAAGGAACTGTGCAGATGTGATTAAGATCTCAAGATAGAGAGATGATCCTGGACTCTCTGGGTGAGTCCGATGAAATCACAAGAGTCCTTATAAGTGAAAGAGAGAGGCAGTCGAGCCAAAGGAGGAGATGTGATGACAGAAGCAGCAGTCACAGTGACACATAACCACAAGTCCAGGAACATGGGTGACCTTGTAGAATCTAGACGATGCCAAGTAAATGGATTGTCCCCAGAGCCTCTGGAGGAACACAGCAATGCCGACATCTTTATCTTAGCCCAATGGGACTGATCTTGGACTTCTGACCTCCAGAAGTGTAAGATAATAAATGTATGTTGCTTAAGCCACTCAGTTCATGGAAATTTTTATAGCAGCAATAGGAAAGTAACTTAACAGCATAAATTTTACTCTGGCTGCAAGGTCAAGAATAGAAAGGGGAGAGAGAGAAAGGATGCAGACAGACTGGGTAGGAGGCTGCTGCCTACGTCTCTGCAAGACAGTGATGGAGCTTCTAGATTGGATTTAAGAGATAAATTATAAGTAATCTACATTAGTCAGTAAGACTGGCAAAATAAGTCAATTATCACATAACATAAATAATAGCTAATATCAATTAAGCACTGTGTCTTAAGCATTAGCAATATTCTAACTCATGTAATCCTCACAATATACTGTGTCTCATAATATGGAAAACAAATCAGAAAGATATCTGATATAGATACATTACGCCTTATTCTCCTATGCTACCATCTTATGCCAAAAAGTACTTGGAAAAAATGTTTTTACCATTTTTCATCAAAACAATACAACATTCCATCTTCTAGAATGTAGGCTACTTCTCCCTGTACCACTTGGTCTCTCGCATGCCCCTCTTACTCCACAGACCACATTCTCTCTCACCCCCACATTTTGCTTATGCTATTTCCTTTGCCTTTCAACACTATCCTCCATCCCTATCACACTCTGCCATCCCCACCCACTCCAGGCTGAGTCCTACTCTTTCTTCAATTCAGGTATGGCCTCCCTCAGGAAGCTTTACCTGTCATTCAGGGTGAGGCATCCCTGCTCTTGGCTTCCAGGTAAGCTTCGTATCGAGCATCATGCTGTATTCTGTTTCATTTCCCAGCCCCGTCAGTAGGCTATTAATTCATAGAAATCAAAGATGACAACACCACAGGACTTAGTACCTACTAAACTTTCTATGATATTAATAGAAATCGCAGCTTAGACACATGGATTGTTTGCTAGGTGCCATCACTATGTAGAGCATTTGCCTGCAATATCACAATACTAACATCAGCTCTATGAAGTAGTCACTATTATAATCTCCATTTTACAGAGAACATAGAGGCAGTGATCTACCTTTGCTCAACACAGAGCAGTTATTCAAATATCTCTGTTCAATGAGTTAATGACCTGATGAACAAACTCCTAAAGGTAAATCCCAATTTTACTGGAATGCCTTAAAATAATTATAATTACTTATGTTCCATCAAACAGAGAGCAGTCAAAATAGATGTAAATAATTATAAACAGATAAATGTGTGGCTTTAGACTATTTCACATTTCACATTTCACATTTGTATGAAGCTCTAAATAGAAAAGTGCTTTAAACCAGTTTCTCAAACTGCAGATTTCAGGACTTATTATTGTGTTATAAAATCAACTTAGTAAGTTTAGGCTAATATTTTCGGGTAAATGAAAAAAAATTAGAATGCATAGCAAATACTAAAGATAGATTGTTTTCATAAAATGCAAATATGTGTGCGTTTATGTATAGAAATGTGTTTGTCATTGAGTAATGATACAAAGTGTAATTCTTATAACAGGTCCCAATAAAAAAAGTATGGAAAACACCATTTTAGGTCATTCTTAAGAGATAATGGGCTTATTTGTGCTCTTTTGTTCGGCAACTAAGCATGTACTCAGTACTTTGAAGCCTTTATAAGTATTACTTGTATTTCAGAGGGTTTATTCACATTCTTTTCTAGTTATAGAATTAAAAGCCTTTTATAGTATTAAAATTTAATAATGTAGAATCATGAAACCGAGAAAGACCTTAAGTACCTCACACAGTGCCTACTGAACAAATATTGGCTGAATAAATGGATCTGGCTGACCTCCTCAGCTAAGGGCAAGTCCACACTGAACCCCATGTAGCCGGATTTTATCAAGTTCTCCTGAGTATTTCCTTCCTAGCACATTCCACAGGCAAATACAAACCTAACCTCAAGCTCCATTATACCTATGGACATTTTGAGGAAGAAATATAATAGCTCAGATGTTATTTTCTCCCAGAATAACAAAAACGTTTACAAGAGTACTCTGCTCAGATAGATCAGTTGAAAATAGGAGATTTAAACAAATGTTTTTAAAAAGCAGATGGAAAATCAGGCCCCATTAACACCTCTAAAGCGCTCTCACTGAGGCTGCAAAGTTTGGCCCCAAGGGACAGTGGCAACTGCAGCTCACTGCCATGACAGTCTTTATGGAAAATCGGCCTCTAACATAATTTGGCCCAAATTTGTGGATTTCAATTTCTCTGTACCCACCAGGATATTTCACAGCAAAATACTGAATTTGTGTAAAAAAGGCTGGCTCTTGATTGCCTTCGCAACATCAAGTCTCCTTCCTATGGCCCACCAAGGCTTTCAGTTGTCAAGGCCCACCTACCGGTCCTGGTCTTATCTCTTGTACTGAAGGAGTGCCATGGGCCATTGGGAACTTCACACAAATTCAAATCATCTGATCAAAACATAGTCCTATTGTACAAAATATTGGCCTATTCTTTCTCTTGACTTAGACTTGACACTTTCCTTAATGAAGCATTAAGATAAATTTTTTAGAGTCAAATTCATATATCTGAGCAAGCAATCAATTAAAAGCATCCTAAATGCTTTTCTACTTTTGAATCCCTGATTTAATTAATCACTAAAACCTGTCAATTCCTGTCTTCTAAATATTTCTCCTGTCTTCCCTACTCCATTGCTACTTTCAGCTTAATTCAAGCAATCCACATTGCTCATTTGGATTAGCAATTATGAATTTCTATTCTATCTTGTTCAAACAGAATTAGCAGTGGTTTTCAGAAATAGAGGACAGAACAAGTTTTTAAAGTACACAAGAAAAGAAAAATGAAAGACAAGGATAAAACAGAAAATCATATAATCCATAAGTTAATGAAAGACATACTATAGAATCTTATACACTTACTAAAAACAGACTTCCATTGATTTTCCAAGTAATAAAACAAGAAAGCAACCCTATCTCAATCACAAAATCCAGAGTTTTCATAACACATATAATTGACAACACAGATTTTTTTTCAACTTTATCTGGAGTTATCAGACTGAAGAAGGCTAACTCACTTTAACCAAACTAAAAAGAGACTGAAACATAAATTAGAAAGCCAACAGTTTAATATACAATGATATACATTACTAGCACAAGGTCTGTAATGCTTTTTATCAGTGGGATGGCACATTTTTTCCCTATAAAAGATTTGTATGGGAAGCCAATTATAATAAGGTTGTTGATGAGCATGAAACCATATCAAGGAACAAGTTATTTTAAGCAGTGTCCTCCACCTAGCAGAACTGGAGAAACCTCAGGAACTACGGGGGAGGCTGTGCCAGACCTTGTTCAAATCTATTGTCAGAGGAATTCCCACCCCCACCCAGCCCACCACCACCACCAAGAATCTGAATAAGCACTGCCAACATTTGCATCTCTAACTTACTTTTGTCATGGTTATCATTTTAATCTATTTAGCTATTCCAGGTTGTCTAACCCTCCTTAATGACACTTTCTTTCCTTAGATATTTGAAACCAGAAATTAGATTACTGGCAGGAATTTTTACTTCCAATTTCTGATCTGAGAATACATTTTTTAAACAGTAAAATTTAGATGTTTGAGTGGGTCAATTGTGAGTGGATTTTATAATTTCACTGTCAGAGCTTTATGCCCCTGCTAATACCACTTTCACATGATTTCTTAAAGCAGTATACTCTTTTATAAACTCAAGTCACAAAGAAATAGTTATGTGAAAAATTAATACCCTTGATCTGTTTTTTGTTAGTAAAATAAGAAAAATCAAAGGTCTCCAAATTATATAATCTGTTGTTCAATAATTTATATTGCAATGCCTTCTAAAAGGCCAAAATGAAACTTTCAAACTCCTAGAAACTTCAGTCAACTTCTAAAGGCCCCTGTTCCCAGTACAACCTAGAAATTAGTTATACTTGATTCTTTTAGTTATACCCATAATGCATAGATCTGAACTACAAGAATACAGCACATATATGAACATTTATAAGCATGTACATCTATACGGATACATGTCTATAGATATGGACACATATGGCTAATTGTAATAAATATATCTCCACACAACTGATTTTGACAAGACTTTGAGCCTCCATTTGTCCAGATAGAGCCTTTAGCCAACACATCTCAGATTTGTGAGGATTCAGAATTTCTTTTGAATCTCATTTAATCTGACAAACAGTTATCTAAGAAATGGCAATGCCACATAAGTAGAACTTGGCTAAACTAAAAAATGTTGTAGTTCTCCACTTTTGCCTGCAGGAAAACACAAAACAAACAAACACAATCTGAAGTTCCAGTCTCACAAGATAGTGTTTATCTCAATGTCTCAGTGCCTCCCCCAACTTCTCAATTATAAACGGACAGGTGCTTCATATGTAACATGTTGTTTGAAAAAGAAAAAAAAGAAAAAAAAAGAAAATCCAAAATGCAGTCTGGCTCTTAATTCCTCTTTTGCCATGGGGCCTCTCAACCAGCCATTGGCTGTGCTGCTTCTGAACCAGAGAATAAGCCGCCAGGGATCTGATAAATCTGAGAGCCTGTTCCTTTTGAAGGTTCCAATCAGTTGTCCTTCCAGCTCTGTCTACCCTACCTCCAGAACTACCCTGTACCTAAATTCCTGAACCTAAAGTCCTATGCTCAATTAACTTGCTTCTCACAACTGTTCTGAGGGTTTCTGTTTCCACTTTCCTGAGCCTTTAAATCTGATTGGTTAGCACTCCTCTCTCTCCTATCTTTCTTCCAAAGTTTTCTTGATATCTTTTATCTGTTCTACCTCCTCTTGTATTCATTTTTCCTTGTGTGGCTATACATTTTTAGTCCCTTTAGGTGGCTAAATGAAGGAGTGGAAATAAACACACATTTAAATGGCATTGTTTAAAAGCAAGACTGGTCATGTTTCTTTACATTTCCCTATTCCGGTTCAGAAATTTGGGGCCAAACTTCAGGGAGACGCTTCTTCTCTCTCCTAAGTCCTAACTAGTTAGTTCATTGTATATTGGTTCAAAATTCCAAAAGACAAATCAACCGATAAGGTTATTTATCAATAAGTATCTTTAATTTCTTTGTCAAGAAAAAAATAAAGAATAAAGATTACTCACAACGACTTCTCAACCTCTATAAATGAGAAGGCAAAAGATTGAGTAAGGGAAATCCTACCTATGAAAGCCAAACAAAATAAGTTTTGAAGTCAAATTCACACATTCATAGCTCTTAAAGGGTAAAGAAAGCTGACCATCTCTTAATGTAACCTGAATGACTGACAGTGGTGACATACAGTTACATCTTCTCTTATTTGAGACACTGAAAGCTGTGCTTTAATAAGTAGTAAGCACGCATAATTTAAGAATTTCTTCGATAACTGTTTGTCAGATAAAATTAAGAATTTTACAAGACATTTTTCCATTTCCTTATTTGAATTTGCATAATTTATCTTTCAGGATAAAATAACCTTGGCCTTTTGGCACCATGCTATAGGAAAACCATAAGCAGTCTATGGAACTCATCTTCTTCCAAAAGAGAATGGCTTTCATTTGGCAAATGGCTAAGAAGCACCCATACACACACCACTGTAATGCAAGGTTTCCATGGATTTCCTGAGAAATGCCCAAAATATAATATTCTTCAGGCATTGTAATATGATAAAAATGAATCTTGACATATTTCAAAATGGAGGTTTTGACTAGTTACTATTAGGCTTTTACGACTGCTGTTATCAATTAAGTAAAAATGGAAAACAAGTGTCTTATTTTCCATAAACAAGGGCTTTCCAGAAAATTCTTACATTTTAACAGTGATTTTTTTCAGTATCCACCTATCTCAGGCTGCCTCAGAAGTTAAGACGCAAAACTGCAAATTAATACACAAGTTTTGATAGGAAAGAAAGTTAAATGTAAAAATGATTACACTCCCCTATATCTAATTACAAAGATCCTGGTGGCCAAGAGCCACTGTGTTCCATAAGATTCCTGCATAAATGAGCTATGTTGTCACAATGTCTATGACACTAGAATATTATAGGTACATGATTCATACAGTGGTTTCAAGGAACCCCCTATTAACTACCCAGAGAAATGGAAGACTACAGAAGCAAGAGAAGCAGCACCTGGAACTGTTTCAATGTTTGTATGAGTTTCAGGTATAACCACGGGCAAGATAAACAAATCAAGGGTGATTTTCCAAATGACAACATTCATAAAGTAAAATAACCCTATGCAAAGTAACTTGGGCCCTTTGGCTTCTGGCGTGTGTGTGAAAGCCCTGGGGGGAAGGGGGCTCTTTTCTGGGTAACATGCTATCGTCCTTTGACTAGAACCTCAGTAGCTTCCTTTTCCTTAAAGCCTCCTGCAAAGGCTACGCTAAAGGATGCCATCTATCTTGAAATGCAGACGATTCACTTCAATCTAAGGTTTAACGTACTATCACAGGCCCACGAAGGAAGGCCCACTAGCTTCAAGAAGTTTAAATACCTCAGCAACAGGTATGTGGACCTTTATAATCCCTGCTTCCGCCCCTCCATCCTCACCCCATGTTCCATCACATTACCTGGTGTTAAAACAAGATAAGTTAATGAAATAATATACCCCACCTTTTCATCTGCTTAGTTCCTCACTACAGCTCCCCCGGTCCGACTTTTCTCATTTCCTCCCCCTCCTTCATTTCTCCAACTAATCAATTCATTTTCCTAACAAGATAAGGCATGTGTTGGCCTAAACTTCAGAATCTAGCACCCTTAAATCCGTCTCCACCATTAAAAGACTGGGATTAAATTCTGCTCCTCGGTCCACCTTCAGCACCGAGTAATTAGCAGTGTATCTCATATGAAGTGCTCAGTTAACGTTTGTGAATGAATAGATAAAATGAACGAACAAAGGCCCACGAAACTAGATGTGCAAGTAAAAGTCATAACCCACGTGGATGCGGGGAGTGAGAATGCGCAAGCGCAGAGAGAGAGCGCGCGAGAGGGGCGGGGGAAGGGAGAGGGGATACATGAAAGAAAAAGAATGAAGTGAGAAAAAGTGAGAGCATATGAGAGCGTGTAAGAGAATATGAGAGACAGCAGAGACAGGGAGCCTCTTAAAACTGCTTCTCCTCATTAGGCCCCACAGGGGCTACAGTTAGAACTACTGTTCCTCAGTCCCCAACCGCGAGCTCGTTAGTCCAGCTTCACCTCGAGCCGGGATTTTGCCCACCAGGCGGACGGCTTGGCCACGTAAAGGGCTCCGCGGGGCAGCCCCAGCTCCTGTCCCTGCGTTAAAGGGCCAGAGCTGCCCATCTCTGCCGTGCTGGCGACAACAGAGGCCACGCCTGAGTGCCTGCGCCGTGGGAGTCGGCCCCCCATCCGCCGAGAGAGGGAGCGGCGCTACAGCAGCGACCGGGGCAGGTGTCCCCGGCCGCCCTAAGCCGGCAGGGCGGAGGGCGGGGAGCGGGAGGCCGGGCGGAACCGCGGGGCGCGCCTGGCGCCGCATTACCTCTCCAGGGCCTGCAGGGTGTAGCTGATGAGCGGCCTCTCCAGGATGGGGCAGAACTGCTTCGGGGTGGGGACGCCCATCCTCTCCCCCCTCCCCCCCGCAGGCAGCACGGCCGCCACGGCCAGTGCGCAGCGCTGGATCTGGGCCTCGGCCCCGCTCAGGGAGGAGGCCGAGGCCGCCGGGCCCGCGCCGCACACACCACGCGGGAGAGGCCCCGGCTCCGCGGGCCCGGAGCCGCCCGGCCGCCCGGGCTCCATGGCGGCGCGGCCCGCCCCTCGCTCCGGCGCTGGCCGGGCTCGCGGGGTGGAGGGCGGACGACAGCAGGGGTGCAGAGCACGCAGACGGCTCCCACCCGGGCGGAATGGGCCAGTCGGTTGTGGGTCCCCAGGGAACGCTCCGGCTTCCGATCTTTCCTCCAGGCGCGTCTGCGGCCTCTGAGCCCAGCGCCCCCGGGAGGGCTGTTTCCCAGCTTGTCGCTTTGCCTCTGGCAGGCCCAGCTAGCGCCGCAGGTGGAAGTGTCAGCCCTCCTCATATACCTCAGGGTCCCCTTAAACTTAGAAGCTGTGAGGTCCAGGACTCCCTCCCCTCCACCTCCCCTTGAAGAAATTTGGAAGAGAATTAAATTCAAGTCACATGATGGGACAGAAATGTGCACATCGATTATCTTTCATCAAGCTCCGGAGGCTTCCTGATTCCGCCTTGGGTAAAGAAAGATGGATGAGCAAATGTTATGAAACATCAATAAGCCAGACTGCTGAGGTTCCCACATTTGCAAGTTGAACCCTCCTGGAGTCATACAAAAGTACTGACACTTAAATGTCCCAGCCTCAGACCGGGGTTTAATTGGTCTGGTGTGTGGCCTGAGATTTGGGATGTTTGTAAAGTCCCCAGGTGATTCTAATGAGCAGGCTCGTTTTGGAATCACAGAACCAAAGCAACTATACTAATAATTGTTGAACAATGGCACATTATCTCATTTAATCCTGGGGTGACCCCCAACTATTATTGTTTCTCTTTTACGGAGGAGGAAATAAGGTTTTAATGTTTAAGTAACCTGTGTGAGATTGCACACCTAATGGCAGAGCTGTCTTAAGGCACTTGCACAGAACTACAGAGTTGAATTCCGGTCCTGAAGCATATCTTGCCCTTATTTAGTGCTGTTCTTGCTGGCAGTGTTTACCATGAAAATGCAATGAAGTGTGTGAAGTGTCAGAGCATGGTGTATTAATGTCCCAAAATGTAAATTCCATGATAGTAGGGGCCTTTATTTTTTTGGTTTGGGTTGTGTCCTCAGGTCCTGGAGTATAACAGAAGCTTAACAAATATTTATTAAATGAACTACTGATTTAATAAATTAATGTGAATCGAAGTATATATAATTAAATATTTGCTATTTCGTATTTATCAATCTTCACCCATCAATAGTTAATATAAAGTTCATAAAAGGGGAATCGAGTACTAAAAATATCAGGTTATATATTCCAATTCAGTATTTTGACCAATTTTTCCCAGTTTAGATTAAAGCATACAAAATTAAGATATAAATTTGCTTCTCCTATCTTCTTTTTATTCTTATTATTGCAAGAACTTTCACTTTTAATAAGTTATTATTACTGACATTTAATTTCATTCTAGTTGATTGTTAGGTCACTGATTCCTAATTCAAAAGTAGCCATCATAATACACTTGACTTTGTAGCACCACTACCACACCTGTGTCTGGCCTATGCTATGCACTCGATATCTGTTGCCTAACCAGATTCATAAATGAATGAGTCTATCTAGACAAGCAGAAAGGCAAATCAGCTAATCATTTCTATTAATATTGATCATATAATGCCTTTTATTATAAGTGCTGCAGGTGGAAGTGTCAGCCCTCCTCACATACCTCAGGATCCCCTTAAACTTAGAAGCTGTGAATAGGCAGTGGAGGTTCAGGCCTCCCTCCCCTCCACCTCCCTTGAAGAAATTTGGAAGAGGTTTAAATTCAAGTCACACAATGGGACAGAGAAATGTGCACTTCGATTATCTTTCATTAAGCTCCAGAGGCATCCTGGTTCCACCTCAGGTAGAGAAAGATGGATGGACAAATGTTATGAAACATCAATAAGCCAGTATTTTTACCCATTTTAATCTAACAGTAGAGTTAAAAGCTAGTGTTCATTTTCTTAGTCTTGGGAAAAAAAGCATTATATACCATTCAACTTTGATATGCTTTAGCCAAAATCTTATTTTATTGATTTATTTTTGTACTTAGAGCAAATATATTAATTTTGCTCTGTTCACTATGAATCTTTAGATCTTATATACTATGTATTAACGATTTTTAACAGACAGACTTGTACAGAAAAAAGGACTAACTGTTCATTTGTATATCACACTATGAGAAGCAACAATTTTTTCTGCCTTTTTATAGAGATATAAATAATTAGTTCCCTATCGAGCATATTTCGGGTAAAAGATATAGTTTCCACGTTACTTCATACGAAGTTATAGCAGCCACATTATGAGAATATCTTCTCTACAACAGGCATTTGAAATGCATGCTGTGAGGAGGTTACCTCTTCGTCTGGGCACTGCTTACCTGGAAGCTGCAACAGTACGAAGATCCTGGGACCACTAGCATGAGCCAGCAAAAAAGTAAGAATTTTTGCCAAGTCAGACCCCCAGATTTCTACCTACAGTTTGGTGGAAACAGAGTGGTAAGAGTCCCTTTTGTTTATTATTAAATTTAGATTAGCAGGAGAAAATATTTGTGAAACTAGTTTCTTGGGCTTAGTGACTCTTGGTTACTTTTTATAAGTACTCATGGGTTTTGTTGATTCTGTCTTTCTCCATCTCTGTCTTGTGTCTCTCCTTTCGGCTTGTTACATGTCCTGAGAACTTAGCCTTAATGACTGGTGAGAATATTTTCTCTCTGGCCTTCACCGTCCAGTGGGTGCACTTCCTGGGGTGCGCTGTGCTTTCTGTCCAGCCACACCAAGCTCTCAAGGGAGTTTTCTATGTCTAGCCATTCCTGCCCAGACATGGTAAAAACAGAATCCTGTATTTACCTTTCTTCTTTTCTGCCAGTTGGAGGATGCACATGCTTCTGGCGGGCAGCAGAGTGAGTAGACTGCGGATGCAAGCTTAGGGAATCAGAATCAGGGGAAAACACATGATTCCTCGTGCTTTGGAATGGCTGTTTCTTATTCTGGGAGTTAACTTTTATCTTGTGAGGGTTGCATCCTTTAGCATTCTCCTTTGAGAATGCCTCTTGTATTTATTTATACATTCTTATTGATTTGAGTCACTGTTAAGATCCTACTAATCAAGGCCAGACAGTAGATCCTTTGAATAGGAAAAACTTCTAAATTGAAAAGAAAGAAAATATTTTTTAGAGAGCTCACATATTGTCAGAAATTATAATGAAAATCAAAGTCCGCTCAGACCCATTCCTTCAGACATTTTTTTGCCTTCAGACATTTGCAGATATTATAAAAAATCAGGACATTGGAAATACAATTGTCCTATTCTTAAGGAAATAAAAGAAAAGGGAAAAATGGCAAATCTTGCTGAACACAACCTAAAAATTTTATGTCTAAAAGTTTGGCTTGGTAACTGTCAAGTTGGAAGCTCCAAAATATGGCCAGACAACAGTGTGAGCTAAATTCAATTTACAGTTAGGTCCTACCAATCTGCTGCCAGCCCTCAAGGAAATTATAACTTAAAATTACAATGTCAATTATGAGCAGCATTCCGATTAGGTGAGGTCGTTTAAAAATGCACTTAAAAGCAAGGGCTTCCAAATCAAATATACAGAATAATATACCTATATTTAATTGGTATGCAAGAGCCTCCATAAGGCTTCAAAAAAAAATTCTAAAATAGCTTCATTGAAGGATTTGTTGCAAAAGACTAATGCAAAATGAAAGAGATAAAAGTACCTAAAAATAAAGAACTGTAAGACTGACATTACCCCTTACAGGGGATTGTCCTCTAATATCATTTATTCCCTGATCTAAGAAGCATAATTAGAGAACTTCTTAAACCCCAGGAGGATCCTTAAAAATCTTTTGTAAATAGATTACCTCCTGAGCCCAGTGAGAAAGGGAAATAAAATTTCACATTGTCTCCTCCTTCCCAAATCCAAGCAATCGGTTATTGATTCTTTCTTTCCCAGGGATAGCTGTTGCCTGTGTCCTAAGAGTTTGGCTTGGCTTTCTGCTGGCCTGGGACATGCAAGCTGTCAGTTCTTTCTTTTGGCTATCAAAGGGAATGACTCTGGAAGTTAATAACTTTTTCACCCTTTTGAGTTCATTTGAGTCCATGATACTATTTAATACTCCCAGAAATATTTACTGTTGTCCTAGCTGAAACCTGACAGGTATTTGAAAGGATTTAATAACTCTATGATAAAAACAATTTGGCCGAATTGACAGCTGGATTTCAGAGACTGATAGGAACTTAAGGTGGGAAGGGGTGCCTCCTCCGAAGCTAAAATAAAACTATGTACCCAGAGGGAAAGGAGCAAATTAGAGGTGATGTAGTTGGACAGGTAGATCAACTTATGATGTCACTTAAGTTATAACCGATTCTTTGGGAAATTAAGAGCATGTGTTCTTATCTTACAAATCTTGGCGAAACCAGAAATGCAGTCTAGAAGTAGTTCAAAGCTATCCTCAATTACTAAGACTGAAGAAAAAAATAGGAAATGAAGGATTTTTTGAAAGCACAAACTATTCTGGTTCCAAGATTGCCTTCTCTTTACAATATTAACAAGAAAAAAGCTTTAGTCATCTGAGCAGATGAACTTAACTTATTACCTGTCTCATGGCTAAAATTTTTAAATGAAGGGTGGGAGGTCTCTGTTTGCATCTGTCTGTATGTTTACATGTTGGTGTGGTATATTTTTTTTTTTAATCTCCGGACGGTATTGCTAATTTATAAAAGAGCTCCATTTAATTGGCTTAAACAAATGCTTATATTAAAAAAACTCAAAAACATAGTAGAAACTAACCAAATGCTTTTCAGGTTCACGTAGTCTGGAGAAATATTTAGTGTCAGCTAATTAAGTTTATTGGTTTAATTAAAACAGGCATGTCTTCACAGAGTTATCATCAAGTATAATACTTCTATTTTATCTAGGCTTATTAGTCAGATGAGTTTATATTATCTCTGTTGCAAAATTTGTTAGCAGGTCAAATAACTTGGTATGATGAAATTTTCACAGGTGATCTAAACATAATTGTTAAGAGCAAGTGAATTAAATAGATGTAAACATAGAAAAGTTTTTTTTAAGGTGAATTCTTTGGTAATAATTATGTTTTATGTGTACTTAAAAATGATTTCCTAAATCTCTTTGATAACTTGAAACTTTTAAAGTTTTGCTACATTAAATTAAATGATAGAAATTCATTGACTATTTAGATCATTTCCAAATAAGATAAAATAATGAAATATTAATTACTGAACATAGGTTTATCTACATTTGGCTTCTTATTACTTTTGGCTTCCGATTACAGAGAAACTAAAGCTATTCAGGTTTGTTAGTAAACAAGTCTTTTGCCTCATTGAAAGACTATTCTGTGAAAAGCAAATATTTCTGGAAATTATAGA